CAGGGAAGCTGGTATTATCCCACTCAAGGTCCTGGGAGCTGGGGGTATGTCACTAGGCAGGATCAGCCCTGCCTCAGCTGCCGGGGATTGGCAGAAGATGGTGCTGTTACTCCTCTTGCCACTGCAGTCACTGGTGACCAAAAGCCTGGGCTGGTGCCGGGTCCCTGCTTCCGTGGGCAATCCCGGAGCTCAGGGAGCTCCATCCTTTTGAGGGATAGTGGCAGTGCTGAGTCTGTGGCCCCCCGAGGATGGTTGGACCCACGCACCGTGGGTGGTTTTGAGAGGTTTGCACACACACACGCATAGGTGCACACACATGCTGTCAGACACATCGTGTGTGTGTATGTGTTCACAGATTGTGTGTGCATGTAGGTAGAATAGTTTTCAGGTGTGTGTGGGTACAACGGGTGGGACGGGCACACATTTATAAATGGCATCACATTTATAAACAGGCATTTATCACACATTTAAAAACAGGCATCTCTCCGTGCAGAGCAACTGCATGTGTGTGAGTGCTGGGGCACATGTGGGTAGGACACATGTGCATGGGTGTAGTCAGAAGAGTTTTGTTCCTCTGTGTGTGTGTGCCCATGCAGGTGACACACGTGTGTCACACCTGTGTGTGTGCACTGCCTGCAGTGCACACGGCAGCAGGCGTGCACCCCTGTGTGCTCATGGACAGGCGGGCTGTGTTTGTGTGTGTGCACCTGTGTGTGCTCCTGTGGGCTACCAGGCCCACACCAGGCCTGTTCCCTGGGATTTGGCAGGGCCCTGTTGAGGAACACGAGCAGTCCCACCCGAGCTGGCCCGCGCGGCAAGGCGCTAACTCAGCAGCTCGTATCAATACCGCTCCACTTACAGCGAAGGCCGCGTAATGAAAATCCGATGGGCACGCTGGTGGGAGTAAATAAGTATGCCATTAAAATAAGAAAATCAAAGCTCTGGACAGGTCTTTTCTCTTGCCCATTGATTTCTTTTATTACGGAAATATTGCTGCTAAATAACATTAGTGTGAACAATCTCAGCAGTGTTTTCTGTAGCGCCCGTGTCAATAACTCCACACTGGGCGGGGGATTCCCCCCCAGCCTGGCTGCAGGGCCAGCAGCCCTGTCCATGCAAAAGGCTGCTCTGGGGCTTCCTTCCTCAGCACTCCCAGCTCAGCTGGCATGAAGAAAGAAACCATGACAAGCGGAGAAACCAGGTAGCATGGGGTAGCTCAGGCAAATGCCAGCAGAGTAGAGCTGGGCTTAGACCCAGGCACCCTGGCTGCTCCGCTGCAGCAGGAGGGGTCGTCCCCATCCCAGCATAGAGCACTGAGTGCCAGGCATTCATTAAAGGGTCACAAAAAGCATCCCTTTCATGGTTGCAACCTCTTCATCAGGTCTCCAATGATCAGCAGAGAAGAGATGAGTTCTGGACAGAGGCTATTGGTGCCTCTGCCTTTTCTTCCCATGCCTCTTCATCCCAAGTCCATGCTGGCCTGACCTAGCTGCCTGCAGCATTTGATTCTCATGGAGAAACTGAGGAACAGGTTGGAAGCTCATGTGCAATCACCCAGCTGCAGCACAGCCCCTGTGCCAGGGCCAGGGTTTGCCCCTTTCCCCTGTGGCTGCCCAGGGACACAGCATCCTTCAAAACTCCCACAGCAGCAGGTTCTCCTTGAAGAGACAGAAGACGTGACCAGGACACACAGGAAATACACACCTTTTGGTGTCTAGAGGCCAGATGGGACCCCAGAACACCTCAAAGGGCACCAAACTATGGAGTGGCTGGAGATGGGCAAGGAGAGTGAGTCAGCCACAGACACCTGCACCCTGGGTCTGACTCTATCCCTGTCCCAACTGAAGCAACCATGAGGAGCATCTCCCCAGAGCTGTCACCAGGACAAATGCAGATCTCTGCCCTCCTAACACCTTCCCCCTGCAACTTGCTTTATCTTGCTGTCCCTCCACATGCAGTGGGTATTGATCAGCCCTCAGGATCTATCTCTCGATTCCTCCTGCGGTATCTCTGCTCCAAGTATCTCTCACTCTGCTGCGCTGTCTGCTGTGCCCATCTATGCCTCCACTATCTATCTGTGCCTCCTCAGCTGCAGCCATCAATAGCCATTTGGGGAATTTCTCTCCAGCTGGGAGCATCACCAAACCCCATTGGTGCAAAATGCTGAGTGGCGGGGCAAAGGGGACACGGTCCTGCTTGCTTGCCCCAAGGAGAGCCTGACATACTTCATGGCAGAACTCCAGAGCTGTTGTTATCACTGTGCAGGTTCTAGAGAAGAGCTGAGTGGGACAGGGATAGTGGACAAGTGGTCCCTTGGTGGCCATGTCCAAGGCAATGGAACACGCTGCACCCTTTGGAGACCTTGGCGTTGCCACTAGCTGACCTGGGTGCTAAACTGACCCAAGCACCCCAACCCCTCTGCCTTGCAGAAGGGGAGCTTCCCCAAACACTTGGGCCCCTATTGGGCCACAGAGAAGTCACCACTTCTGTCTCACCCCACCCAGCCCAGCTTTCAGTGTACAGGGGATAAGGCACAGCCCAGAGCCGAGGGTGCAGCACACCGGGGTGCAAGGCAGCAGCACTGGGAGGGGAAGCTGGAACCATGTGGCATGGGGTCCTGTGCAATGAGTCCTGAGGGTCATTTGGCCATGTGGATCCTTCTGAAATAGGGCCAGGTCTCATCTTCCCAGTGGCAATTCAACAAGAGTGCCACACTGACTAGCACTCAGAGGGGCTGGCAAGCACCAGGAGGTCCCTGCCTCTGCCGCAGCAGGATGGGATGGGCCAGTGCAAGCTACGGCTGTCCAGCCCTGAAATAGGATGGCCGACAGCTAATTTATCTCCTGTGCAAAGATAAACAGCGCCTGGGGGCCCTGCAGGGTCGGGAGCTGCCCTGCACTCCCAGGGAATGGTCTGATTTTTCCAGGAGAGCCTCCCTGGTGAGCATGGTGCACTATGTCACAGGCAGCTGAGGTGCCAGCAGCTTAAGGAGCCCTGAGAATCACCAGAGCCATGACAGTACACGGGGTAGCTTCTCAGGAGATGTTCAAAGGGAAGCTGGAGAGCACAGAAGCAGCAGCTTTTCCCCACAGAGGGAAGGGGTGAAGGGGACAGAGCTGGGCTATGGAGCCTGAGAGCAAAGTCAGCTCCTGCCATCAGCACAGCCAGTGGCTGTTTTTCATCAAGATGCTTCAGGGAAAAAGGAGGATTTGGCTCATGCTGACTGCCCCTGGCCCCTGCAGCACACAGGTGGCCATGGAGAGGACAGAGCTACCAGCCCTTACCACCCAACCTCTTGTCATCCCATGCCACCAAAACCCAGTGTAGCAATGGGAAGTCTCAGTGACAAACTGCTCTGGCTGTGGGATGGAATCAAAGCCACTGTCCTTTGTGGACAGTGTTGTGGGGCAATGCTGCTCCTCAGGCATCCATGTAAATCCTAAGCTGCCATGGCCAAAAAAAAGCCCAAGGAAGAGCAGGTGCCTCCTTTGCCTCCTGGCTAAATTTCCTCCATAGAGAAAGGAATCAGGAAAATCTGGCAGACAGGCAGGTCAGGGAGAGTAAGGAAACAGTCAGGGGATGCTGCCAGTGGGCAGCACCCAAGGCAGAGAGGTGCCATGCTCTCACCTCATCTTACATCCTTGCCTGACATCTGGAGACACACTTGATGATACCCTGGTGCCACAGCTTACCACACAGGGTAAGCCAGGAGCATTGAGCTGCTCCAGTGAGAGAGACACATGGCCTTGTTCTACCCGTGCCAGGAAGCCTCTTTGGGCATCCAGGCCACATTACAATCTGAACCCTTCAGCCAGGGGCCAGGCACCCACAGCACCTGCCACAAAGATCCCTTCAAAGTCCCAGGCTGAGGGTCATGTGTCACACTGCTGTGGTACCCCAGCCCTTGAGGATGGAGCTCAGGGTACAGCACTTGGAGCGTGCCCCAAACACCCCTTTGTGCCTGCACATGGGTTGGCAGCGTGAGCACACACACCCACCTCCCCCAAAAAAGCACGTGTGCACATTCCTGCCCTCCTACCCCCCCTCAACAGAGATTGCACAAACCAACAGGTGAATACATGAAACACACACACCCAAGTTCCCCACGGACACATTTAGGACATTTATTATTGTCCCCAAGAGCAAACACACAGGTGTGTGCGTACACTGCAGGCGCTCAGTCCCTCTGACAGTGCACATGGCTTTGCACACGTGTGTGCATGGTTACTGCTCCAGGGGATGGACACCCGTCCTCCACACGCAGCCCCAGGGCATACACACCCCTTAAACACCGGGCACACTCCGGCTGGTGTATGTGGGCTCCCACACGTTTAGTGCATCACTTCTCCCACTGTGCCTAGGCACAGGGCTGCTCAGACACCCCGCACACACACGTGTAGGGGAGGCTCATCCATCCCACTGTACGCACGCAGGCAATGAACACACACACACTCACCTTCTCCCAGCACAGCAGGTATCTACACACACACAGACAGACCCCCTAAAAGCCGTGTGATGCGCGCAGCACCCTCTTACACACGTGTGCGCAGAACCCTCACACACCCCTCCCTCCTTCACACTCCCTTCTCCTCACACATCTATGTGTGCACAGCCTGCACACACCCCCATGCACTCCCCTCGTCCAGCACCCACACATGGACACACACTGGGGGTCACACAGACACACACTGGGGGTCTCCCAGCCCGCTGCGCCCCCGGCCCGGGTGCCGGTCCCTCCCGCGGCCCCCAGCAGGACGGCCCCGGCCGGCTCTCGGCGGGGCGATCCCCCGGGGCTGCCGTAAGCCCAGCCCTCCCCGGGTGACTCCCTAGACGTGCGCTAGCAAATGGGAGCGGGGAGGGGTGTTGCTGTCTGACTGCCACTTGTTGCAAAAAAAAAAAAAAAAATATATATATGGGCCGGGGCCGGGACCGGGCGGAGCAGCCGGCCGTGCCCCCCGGGACGGCGGGGCGAGCCCCGGGCGGCGCTCGGAGCCGGCGGCATGGTGGAAAACCCCAGCCTGGCGGCCAAACCCGCCCTGGTGAGGGACGGAGCGGCCGGAGGGGCTCCGGCGACGCGGGGGTGCATGGCGGGAGCAGGGCAGGGACACCCGCGTTGGACAGGGAGCGGCATCGGGGTTCCCGGTGGGAGCGGGAGGGGCGTCCCGGGAGGACGGGGCACCCGGTGAGACCTTCCGGAGGGATCGGGACGGGGTCCCCGGCGGGGACGGGGCGGTGGGGGGCTCGGTAGGAGAGGGTTCCCCGTCGGGGCGGATGTCTCCGTTGGGACCGGGGAGGAAAGGGATCCTCGGTAGGACGCGGTTCCCAGTGGAACTGGGGCTGGAGTCCCGCCACGACATGGGTCCCCAGCGGGATGGAGGAAGGAGGCTCCTCGGGTCGGACCCGTGTCCGGTAGGAGCGGGGACGGCGTCCCCCGGAGGAGCGGGGATGTGGCAGCGGAGGGCCGGGTCCCCCGCGGGGCAGGGTGCCGGGGGTCCCGGCGGGGGAGGAAGCCCCTCCGGCGGCGGGAGCCGCGCCCGGCACGGCGACGGTTCTGCGGGCAACTTTTGGGCAAGGCCCCCGGGAGCGGCGGGGACAGCGGCTGGGGTGGGGGATGCTTCCTCCCCTCCCTCCTCCTCCTCCGGCTCCGGAGGCAGCGCTGAGGCCGTGCCCTGTGCCCGCAGCCGGCCGCCCCGCCGCGGGGGCCGGGGGCGGCGGGGGGGCTGCGCTTGGCGGCGGTGATGGAGAGCCTGCAGCGGCAGCAGGCGGCCCGCCTGGCCCGCGGCCCCGGGCCGCCGCCCGCCGCTCCCCGCCGCCGCCCGGCCTCCGGCCCGCGCCCGCCGCTCGCCGCTGCGGGGGAGGAGGAGGACGACGAGGAGGAGGAAGAGGAAGAGGAGGAAGAAGGGGAGCCCCGCGACCCACCGCCGCCACCGCACCACGAGTGGACCTACGAGGAGCAGTTCAAGCAGGTAAGGAGGCATCACTGCTCCGGCACCGGCTGCTCCCGGCAGGCATCCCCGGTATCCCTCCCATGGTCCCCAAACTCGGGTTCAGCTTTCCCTGAATGGACAACCCTTATGCCCCACGCTGCTCCCAAAGCTTGTCTGCGTCCCACCCTAATTGGGCAACGCCATGCCCCAGCCCTGACCCGCCCCGAGTAGACATCCCCCATATCCCCATTATTGCGATCCCACCTTAAATGAAACCCCACCAGTACTCACCCACTGCCCCCAAACCTCATCCTCCCCTAAATGGGTACCCCCAAATGCTCCTCATTTCCCCTCTCCCCAAGCCCTGTCTCACCCTATAGGCATCGTCATCATCTTATGTGCTCCCTATTTCTCTGCTACCAAACCCCATTTCAACCCTGCTTCATGACCCCACCTCCTCGGTGTCCCCTGTGCCTGTCCACAGGCCCTGCATCATGATAGGGTGTCCAATGTCCAGGCATCTCTCTGTGCCCACCCTGATCTGTGCTCCATCCTGATGCTTTCTATAGTGGGTAAAACAGGCTGATCCCTGTCCATGGGGGTTTTGCAGAGATGAAAAAGGGCAATGGCTCTGGTGTCTAGTCACCCCAAAGAGCTGGTGAGCTGTGGAGCTGAGTTCTTGTGTCTCTGGAAGGGCCAGGGTGTATTACACTTGGTCAGTGCAGCTCACTGATTTCTTTGCACTGGAGGAAGTCGCACATACACCCTGTCCCCTCATTCCTGGTGAGTGTAGGGGAGATCCTTCTGTGCTGAGGACACAGGGAAAGGGCTTCAGGAGCTCATGTAAAGGATGGAAGAAAAGTCTCCCTGTATTTAGTGCATGTGGATCTCATCTGAGCCGTGTTGTGCAAGCTCTGGTTTGCACACAGCGGGTGCCTCTGCATTCAAGGGTGTGGGCATGGAGTGCACAGCGCCAGGGCAGGTTTGTTGCTCCCTGTGCACTCAGCTTCCTTGTGCGGGAGAGAGAGGCATAGTGGGTGACAGGGAAAATGTGGTATGGGGCTAGAACAGACAGAGATGTCCCCAAACAGCTGTTGTGTGGCTTTTTAGGACGGTACTGCTCAGGGACAGGAGGACGAGGGCACTTCAATCTCATCCAGTTCTGGCAGGAGGGCAAGAGAACAGCAACAGGAACCCAAACTTTTTGCTGCTGTGGGGGTGGGCTGCTGCCTTTTCTGTTTCAAATTGCTCAACACGTTATTTTGGGGGGCCGGGGCTCATCCCTTGCCTACAAGGCAGCAGGTAGAGGGGCAGACAGGGCACGGGCAGCACATGCCCCCCGGCTGTGCCCAGGGATGCTGCCAGCGCCTGACACTGCCTTGAAGCAGCACGGGAAGGGCCAGGATGGGTGAACTGCACAGGCCAAACAGCTCGTCCGGGAAGTGTTACATTACACCCCGCTGCACAGAAAAAGGCTGACTGTCCGGTTCCCGGGGTCAGCCGGGAGGTGGGAAGCAGCTCCTCCCTCCCAGGGCGGCTAGGAAAGCATCCCCGGCATTTCTCGTCCTTCAGCCTCCCGCCCTGCCCCTGTCTGGGGCTGCCCGTGCTCCTTGTGCAGAGCAGGAATGTTGTGAATAGTGGGAGAGGGATGACAGGAGAGGTTGGGGTGCAGGATAAACCCTGCCACAGCTTCCCAGGGTGAGAGCTGGCTCATTTCTCTTTGGGTTTTTTCAACCCTGATTGGAAAAGTGATGGACCCCTCATCTGGAGACCCACACTTGTGTCTCCCACCTTGTGGTGTGTCACAGCGAGCCCAGGGAACAACAGGATGTCCTTCTGCAGTTTGGAACAGGCTGCAGTGCCAGCTTGCTTTGGGGTCTGCAGGATGGCTGTCACTCCTGTCCCTCCCCTGAGATCATGCAGGAGGGGACATACCCCTGCCTGGGAGGGACATGTCCCTGCTGGGTCCTCCCCAGGCTGCAGGGCTGTGGCTCACCCAGCTTGGGGAACAGGTTCTCCGCTCTGAGTGGGGAGGGTGGCTGTGCTTCAGCTTTTGGAGGTTTCCCAGGGGTTGGGCTGTGATGCTGTGGGCGAGATGGAGGGGCAGCATGTGTCTGCTGGAAAGTTCTGGGGCAGTGGCAGTCTGGTTGTGAGGGCCCTCGAGGTGGAGAGAGATCCTTGTGGTAGCCAGAACTGTATTTTCCACCAGGACTCCCTGCTTGAAACTGCCCAAACCATCATGCCATCATCCAGGGTAGGATTCAGGGTTTGTCCCTGCTCTCATCCTTCTGGACTGGGGGCACAGTTAAGTGAACAGGGACCACCAAATCCAGGGTGTTTGGCAGAAAGTGGGCAGAGAGAGACTTGCCCATCTCTGTGCACTGGGGAGGATGCCTTGATGGGGATGGGGTGGAAGGTTGGTGCAGGACCAGCTGGGGAAGGGTTTCCACACAGCACAGTGGTGCTAAAAATGGGAGCAGAGGAGGAGGTGGTTGTGGCAAACCCCATAGGGTTAATAGGCAAATGCTGCTTTGCATGGAGGAGCTTTTGGGGGAAATATCCCACATGTATGCTGTAGTTTTATATGCTTCCTGAGGTGCTGGTTTGGGGAGGGGGGGCTGGTGAGACCTTTGCTCTGACTGGGAGGGCTGCTATAGTGTTACAAGGCTGAGAGACCCCCTCACCTCTGCCTCTTGCATCAGCCCCCGGCGCCGGTTTATGTACATTGATAAGGACACATGGGTAGAGACCTGGGCAAAGGTCTGGGAGGTCTCCACACCCAGGCCTGTCAGGCAGATCCAGCCCTGAGGTGGGGGGCACCAAGTGGGGTGTGATTATGCGTTAGCCATGAGCCCTAAGGGCTGGGATGCCTCCAGGTTTTGATTCTGTGGTGCTGCATTATGTTTGACTTGGAGGGCACGCGTGAGAGCCTGGGGTTTCTAGTGCCAAGCTCAGCTCCATGAATTCAGCTTTCCCCCTAGGGAAACCATGCATATAGACAGGGATGGGTGCACTGGTTTCCTCCAAGTGATAGAAGAACAGCACCAGAACCCAGGGCTTTCTTCTCCATTCCCTGGGGTGGGAGGGACTCAAACATCTGGGCTTTGCATCCAGCTCTCTGTTAGCAGAATGTTTGCTGGCAGGAGGATGCCCTCCCTGCCAGGGCCCCTCTGGCATGTTCGCAGCCATGTGTGACTGGGGGGATCAGGATCCTGATCTGAAGCTCCTTCCTCCCTTCCCAGGGAGGCAGGGGCTGAGCCCCAGCCAGCCCTTTAGGAGCTCCAGGTGCCTGGTAACCTCAGTGGTTAATTTGGGGGTGGCTGGTTTTGCCAGCAGCTGTTTGCCATTATCCTCAGCCTAACCCTGGAGTGGCTGTTCCTCCTGCCTTGCCTGTCCCTGATGCCAGGAATTGCCTCTTGCACCCACCCACCTGTCCTTAAGGTGCATTTAGGGAGGGCTTGCCAGCTGTGATGTGTGCACTCGCATCTCAGAGCCTGGAGGTGTGTGTGTCCCTGTAGACAAAGACCTTCTTGTGCCACAGAGGATCATCCCAAAATGAGTGGTGTGCATCCTCATACCTCTGTCCCCATTGCTTTCTCCTGTGGTGTTGTCACTGGGGATGGAGGAAATAAGAGTCAGGAATGTTCAGGGAAAGGAGGTGGCTGAAGAGGGGGACTCTGAGGAGAGGGCAGTGGTCTCCATGCCACAGCCCCCTCTTCACCATCAGTGCATCTTCAACCTAAGGGCAGGAGCAAGGGCTCCCAGGGCGAAATTAGAGGGTCTCTGCTTACTGCAGAGTCAGGGAGGCAGAAATGGACGCAGTGTGTTTGCCCCTATCCCTGTGTGCCTGGAGGCCTTTCTCCAGCAAACCTGTGAGCAGAGCTGTGCCCCTCATCTGGGACCACCTGCAGTGGGGAGGTGGCATCAGCAGCAAGGGTCAGTATGCCAGACCCTGGAGCTCAACAGCTCTGGCAACCCAGCAGCAGTGGAGGGCACAGGATGGGACAGGGGGGCTGCTGAGATGTGGCTGGAAGGACAAACAGAGGTGTTCTGGGGGGGTGTGTGCCCACAGACCAACCTGAGTGTGTGCATCTGTATAAATACACATGTAAATGTGGGGGTACATGGGTGTATGTGGACCCACCCTGTGTGTAGCAGTCCTTGGGAGACCCTGTGTGTCTGTATGGATGCACAGGAGCATGCAGAGTGTGTGTGAACCCATGGAAGTGCTGGAATGTGTTAATGGGTCCATATGAGCACGCAGGTGTTCATGGATCCGTGTGGCTCTGGGTGTGTGTATGGCAGTGTGTGTGTGTGCCCACACGAGTCTGAACACACCCGTGTGCATGTACAGGCACACATGGGGTGTCCCACTGTGTTTAGGCATCTGCATGCCCGTGCTAGTGTCACAATCTTGGAATTGCATGGACCCACAGGTGCTTGAGGCAAGGTTTGAGAGCTAAGCTCCCTCCAAGGCTGCCTCTTGCCCAGCCCACAGTGCTGAGCACTCCTGGTAGTGCCAGTCACCTGCTCCCATTGCTGCCCCCAGGGCACTTCCTGGCCCCACTGGAGTCTGTGGGATGCTAGCAGAGCCTCATAAGCTGCCACAACACTATCTTCCAGATGGGGGTCCAAAGGGTTTGGGAATGGGGCTCCAAAGAGGAGGTGTAAAAACTAGTTGAGGGTGTGAGATTACCCTCACTGTGGAGCAGAGAGGAGCACCATCAGGAGCTCACACTGAGGCTGCTTCCAGCTCCCTCCCCAGCTAATTCCCTGAAATCAGATGCCATTTGAGTATTTGGGGAGGATGCATCCTCTCATCAACTTGGGTCTCCAGTAATCCACTAATTGGGCTAATAATGGAGGTAAATCTCCTGTGCTGCCAGGCAGCTGGGCAGGTCTGCAGCAGGGAGATTGGATTTTGGGTGGTGGACTCTGGTCTCAAGGGGATGGATGGATGGATGGATGGATGGATGGATGGATGGATGGATGGATGGATGGATTGTGTGTGTATGTGAAGAGTGTGCAGGGATGCATAA